ACCCGCCCTTTCGCTCAGAAGTCGAACGTGAGAGCGGACTGTTGAGATTGAATAAAGCTGCGGGAGCAGGTGTTTTGCATCCAGCCCTGTTCCAAATCGGAGGTCATGATCTTGTGGATGATGCACACGATTTACTATTGAAACTGTGGAAGCAGAATGCTGTCCCAATTGACTGGAGCCGCTCCGTTATTGTCCCGATCTTTAAAGGAGGCCCGCGTTTGGAATGCGGAAAAGATTGAGAAATCAGTCTGATCCGCATCGCCTCCAAATTGCTTGCCTCTGTAAGCCTTCTCAAATTAACTGGCACTCAAAAAATCAAATTCGTGAGGAGCAAGCCGGGTTTCGTCGACGTCGGAGCCGCATCGATCACGTCTGCACATTGCGTCAATTTTTGGAACACCTTCACATATATTGGCGGCCCACAGTTGTTGTATTCCTCGACATCAAAAGTATCTTCGATTTGGTGAGTCGACTTGCACTTTCGGACTGTCTACTCAGGAAAGGTGTACCCGAGAAATAGGTAACTATTATCGGAGCACTCTACATCCGTAGAACCTGCGAGGTGATGGCTTACGGCAAGCTGTCGCCGAATTGCAATATCTTTAGCAGTGTAAGACAAGGATGCCGGTTGTTTCCTGTTCAGATTCGCTGTTGACGAAGTCATGCAAATCACGTTCACAAGACATGACTTAGAAGGTGTGGAGCTACTCCCAGAAGAATGACTTCTAGATTTGGCTTATGCAGACAATATTGTCCTCATTTTTGACGGCTCCCAGACGTGCCAAGCTGCACTGGACAGTTTAGTACTGGCTGTCAGACGCTTCAAGCTTTGCTTCGCACCATCGAAGTGCAATGCTTTCCTCCAAGCTTGGCAGGGACCGTCTCATGCGCAAGCACTTGGTGGGATCAGCTAGAAGTCGCTCAGCAATTCAGCTACCTAGGAAGTTGTGTCAGCGCCTTTGGAACCGTATATCAAAAGCTCGAGGGGCTTTTGCTAGTCTTCGCCACCTATGACGGCGGCGCGGCATAACACTTCCCCTGAAGGGTAAAGTGTACAATGCAGCGGTAGGTTCGACCTTACTGTACGGTTGCGAAACCTGGCCCCTTAACGCATCCGACATAAGGAGGCTAGTTGCTTCCGACCATCGGTGCCTTCGCAGTTTGGCTCACATCTGGTGGGAACACTGCGGGAGCAACGAGCGTGTTTGACGCCTTGTTTACGGCACAGGAAAAGGAACTGAACCGAATAGCATCGTTATTTCACGCACCAGGCTCCGATGGCTTGGCCACGTGTTACGCAGGCCAACTCACCTGCTCCAGTGATGTGTGTTGTTTGCTCGCCGGAGGTGTGGGTGGAAGAAGAACAGAGGTGGCCAAGCGATGACATGGTCGAGAGGAATGATAGCCATCACTTCGGAGCTAGTCTCGGTTGGCGCGTCACAGCTCCCTGGTTGGGTTCCAAAAGAGGATGAAAACGTTGGGCTAGTAACACTTGCTGACATGGCTATAAGTCGACCTCAGTGGCGTTACTGCTTTGCGTTTCTTTGTCCCTCCAAATCCCTCTTAGCCACCCACCACACCCACGATCTCATTTCGTAGCATAATATAATTTTACATACTAAATTTTTGTTGCCTATTAGCCGGCTGGTAGCTTTCCGGAACGATGCCCATCCGTTTCTGGTAGCTCGGCTGGTACGCAACTATTGTATTTCTTTTCCGTTTTCCTACAACCTAGGCAGGGGCTCATCCATTGCGCTGACCCTTGGTGGTGATCTCCCAGAAGTCATTCAGGAATTCAAGTACCTGGGCAGCTGTATTAATGCCCGAGGAATGGAAGATGAGAGTACGAACCATATAGTAAAACTGTAGGTGCTTTCGCCCATCTCCACCACCTGTGGCGCAAATGCGACATCACTTTCGCCCTGAAGGGCAGAGTTTCTAATGCAGCCGTCCGTTCAACCCTCTGATATGATGGTGAAACCTGGCCCATCAGGTCGCCAGACATAAAGAGGCAAGTCATGTTCGACCATCGCTGTCTTCTCATCTTACCTCAAGTCTGGTGGGAGCACCGCATGAGCAATGAGCGTGTTCGGCGTCGCGTATTTGGTACAGGAAGAGCTGGTGAACCGCTCAGCCCCATTATATCACGAACCAGGCTCCAATGGTTGAGCCACGTGTTACGCAAGCCTGCGCACCGACTCCCGCGGCGTGCATTGTTTGCTCGAGGGGTGTGCTGTTGGAACAGGAACAGGAGAGGCTAGGTGATGACTTAATCGACAAAAATGAAACCCCCAATTGGAAGTTGGTGTCGGTAGTTGCATCCCTGGCTGGGATCCTAAAGAGGATGAACATGTTTGGTTGGACACAATTGCTGATATGGCGAAGAGCCGGCCACAATGGCATTTGTGTTGTGAGTTACTTTGTGCAACCCTCCCTTTTAGGTTACTCCACCATTTCTGATCTCATACGGATTATATAACATAATATTTAACATTATGTATTCCTGCATTCAAAATATTTTTGTAGCTTTTCTTGTCGTATTGCGGCACATTAGCTGAGGTACGTTTATCACTCTCAATTAACCTGTATTGATGAAGATGATGATGATGTTGTTGATGATGATGATGATGATGACGATGATGATGATGATGATGATGATGATGATGATGATGATGATGATGATGATGATGATGATGATGCTGATGATTGTACCAACGTCACTAAGCCTAAACTAAGTACGTCGTACGAAAACTAAACTAAAACTACGAACAGATAAACCTAGACTTAACGCACGGTCTGGGCAGAAGAAGAAAACGTATTATCCTGTAACCGTGGTTCTATAAGGCATGATAAATACAGTACATGACTTACGAATAGGTTTCGCAATCGTAATGCAAGTGGGCGGAAACTGTCCAGCGTGGGGCGGATCGAGTATTTGGGCAGTGTCACAATAACATAATAATAAAAATGACCTTGAAACCTCAAGGATGTGTCAGTGATGGAGTGTAAGAAATAAATATGCGATATGTGAACCGCTTGTAAAACACAGAAAAGCAGTGTAAATGTGCAAGATAATCAGGGAAAAGAGATACCGTGTCCTCAGGTAAGCAATCAAGTTTGGGGATACATCAAAGTTCCTTTTGGACTTTACAATGATGATGATGATGATGATGATGATGATGATGATGACGATGATGATGATGATGATGATGATGATGATGGTGATGATGATGATGATGATGATGATGATGATGATGATGATGATGATGATGATGCGGATGATGCGGATGATGCGGATGATGATATCAAGTTCGCTTTCCGCGCGTCACAGCGAATCCAAGAGGACGGCCCAGGGAGAAGGACCGACAGTGGTCAGTAATGAACTCGGTAACTGGCTAATTAACCAACTTTGCAAACTGTTCGGCCCAACGCGGTAAGGGTTTTGACAAGCAGAGGATTGGCCGTCTACTTTTGTCAAATATGGTCATACTAACACTATCTTTTCTGCTGTCCGATTCCTGTATTATTTGGAAGTAAGGTGCTTAGCAAGGAGAGTGTCTGTCCCGATCTCCGATGCACGATGAGACCACTAAGTATCACGGTCTCTCTTTAGACGGGCATGTAGTTTTGCGCCTAAAGCTCTAAGCTAGAACATGTCAGCGAGCATCCAGAAGTCCAAGAGACTGCGTAGAGAAGCGATTTACATGTTTACAATTAGGTTTGCTACATGAAAACATGTCTGATGCTAATCCCATCTAGTGAACATGCGAGCAGTGACTAGCAAATGTGCTCAGCGAGTGCTTACACAACGGGCAAGCCAGCCGACATTGGTAATGATTCAGATGGTCTGGCTTCGCCAGGTGAGTCGCGGACGTCCGAGGAAACCCACCCCCAAATTGGCACATATCAGTGAATGGTCGGATTCCACTTTTGTTCTCTAAATCGATCACCAGTTTTGGACGCAGCCCCTTCAGCGTCGACTGATCAGCATGTGATCGATTTGAGTCCATGGCTGGTGGGCGTCATGCCATCCTCTGGTGTCGGAAGTAAGTGTTCGCGAGAAATAGCTTAGCATTTTTACAGAGATGCAGCAGCGGCCCTTCGTTACCATTACGGTAGCCTAAACCGTGTTGGCCATCCAAATGAAACGGATAACGCTCCAACTTGAGTCTTCAGATCACCGGCCGGTACTACAGTATCGGTAATTTTTCGGTTGCATAGGAACGCGTTCAGTTGAGTTTGGAAGTCAACTTTTACCTAATCGATAATACAGTTTGTGGGGGAGAAGACAGTAGTGAGAAATAAGTATCTGTTGTCCCCGCTAGACTTCTAAGTTGTGAACGAGCAGCCTAGTCGGACGGCATACATCCGACTGCTGAGTGGGATCCGATCGATCAGATTAGCTTCGGCGCACGGAGTATACTCCATCCTTTCCACCCATATTGGGAACCGCTGATTTCCTCTGCAATACCCAGAGCATAAAGAAAGTGTATGAAGAGTTTATGATTCTACTAAGCAGGCAGAAAATTTTAGGTATAGACCGGAAAACCATTAGGTTTCTTGACTAAAGTCTTCAGTTTAAAAATCACACTGCAAGGCAGCGGGAGTTGGTAGCCCCGGCAACAATGAACTTGTTTTAAAAAAGAAGGATCCACCCTCATTCCAACCTTACTCCCAACCTGGGGTCCGAGTTTGCCTGGCTTCCAATCATTGGCCAATCTGGCGTGAGTGGTTCTGAAGGTACAAAAAGGCGCTACTCAGCAGAACTCAAGGGATCATTGAGGCACACAAACCATCGCACCACTTTAAGGTCCAGTCTCGTTGCGATGTGAGAAACTGTTATTGTGCCTGGAAATTCAGAAATTGGACATCGACTTTCGTGATCCACCGAAGGTTCACTCGTGTATGATGTGCAATTTCAAACGGAGTCGATTAGTCGGATAGAAAAAATCAATTTAGATTATGAAAATGTTTGAATAAAACAAGTACTTATGTCTTACCGGTTCCGTTTTGTCACCGAAAAAGTAAATCGTTTCAAAGTCCTTGAGAAATTGCAGGCAGTATCGCTTGTCCCATCCACGGGGGAACACGTCAAAGCTTATTTCCCCACCTACAATGGGATGTGCATGCGCGGATTAGAAACACGGTTCGGGTGTAGTACTCGTGCTTCATCGGGTGCGGTGGTTGTGTAGAGGATATGATGGCTCAAGACGCTTCTTCGTCTTCAATGCAGTTCAGTTTATTAGATATGAGCCGCGCATTGAAAAGAGGTGGGTCTGGGTGAGTTAACAAACGTCACAAAATAAAAATAAGGATAACAGTAGCGAACAAGAACTAAAACTAGGTCAAAAGTGACCTAACACATGTTAGAGTGTCACAGACTCTGCGATCGCGCCGTGTTCGCAACAGTGCGTCCAACTGCATAGGTGGCAGGTCTTCGGGATCTCATCAAGAGAGAATAGCAATCACCAACTTGACGGAGCTCTTCAGCGAGTTTCCTCATGCATTTTTGCGATGCTACTAACTGGCCACCGACCTCCGGTTTTCAACGAACTAGAGGTAGTAACGTCAAACAATGCAGGCCCAAGTGGCGGCTGGGTTGCGAGATTCGGAACACATGATGGGGCCACTGGAAGTGATTCAAAATAGACGAGCCCCCCAACGAGGGATCGGAAGGTCTGTTGCCAAGTCCTAACCCCAGGCATTACTCGATTCTATCAGCAGATATCAGCAATATCGTGCAGGTAACGGTGATCAGACAAAATCAGCCTCTTGACCTCTTCACACCCCTGATTGCTACAGAAACACCACTAGCGCAGCACAGCTGTAAACACTACTCTTAATCAATAAACTTATATCCCACACTTTCAACAGGTGACACGGGTTTTGAAAAGCTGTCCGAGCATTCACCGCATCGACTAGTTGTAGCGATACAACCATCCGGATGATCAAACCGACCGGTTACCACGGGAGACTATTCGGATATGGTACTGAGACACGGAGCTGCGTCAGCCTGGTAACGTAATCGCACCTTGGAAGCACAAAACTGAGGATGAAACGTGAGACGCACGCCGCAGAGCTGTTCAGCGACACTTGCATGGTAACTATGTCCAATCCAAAGTGAGTTACGTCGTCCGCATACTCCTAGTTTAGCAGCCAGTTTTTCAGCAGTGGCGTGAGTTACTGACTAGCGGTGGAAGCCGCTGATGATCATAGTTTCGAACTCAGTTTGAGCCGACCCGCGACCTTAAGGATCACAAGCCGGTTTTCTAATACGAGGGTGCGGGTTCGCGCCTACGTAGGGACCGAGCGATGCTCACAGTAGGCCTAGCCCAAGCGCAAGTGTTGGTGGATGCGGCACAGCGAAGCGTCGCTACTGCGCACAGGCGTACTGCTGATGCCTCTCATCGATCTCAGGATAGTCAGTCATAGTCTAGTCTATCACAAGTCAAAGGAGAGATGTACAATTTAGCCCGGAGAAGACTCGGTTAGTCTTCCCAACTTCCAGTTTTCTTCTATGCAATGCGTTACATCCTAGTCCGCGGTCAGTTGTTAGTGCTGTTTTTCGATTGCAGCCTTTTAGGAACAAAGACATCCCCGCTTTAAAACCCTATGTGCTGCTATCGATGTCTGCACAAATGTTCAGCTCCAGATTACGGAAAATTTCGCCTTGATACATTCGCCCCCAAACAGCCGAGAGAACAGCGATTGTCGGAGGTGAAAGCCACAATCCCCTTGCAAGGATCTAACGGCGGATGTCACAGTTACGTCAAGCAACTGCACCGCCAGAGGTGCGGTTTGTCAGCATTTGCATTACTCTCAGAGGAGCAAGATACGAGATGGATGACCGCTGGTTGTTCAGACAAATTCCTCTAAATGATTAATAAACATTGCCGTGACTGTGATGAGGATGGAATGTACTGTGGTTGGATGGTTTATGTGCCTCATTAATCCATTGAGCTTTGCTGGATGGTGATTTTTTGGCACCTCCAAAGCCACTCATATGAGATTGGTCAATGGTAAGTGGCCGGACAAACTCAATCTGCTGCCCCCCCCCCAGGTTCGGGGTTGGAGTGAGAGTGGCTCCTTACACCATACAACGGGCTCTCTGCAGTCCAATACCAAAACCCCGCTGCCTTGCTGTAAGGTTTTTAAACCAAAGGCTTTGGTTGAGAACCGTAATCGTTCTCCCGTCTGGGCCTGAGCTACCTGACAGTATCGTGTCCATAAAATACACTATGACCTTTCCTTCTGACAATATCTTGATGTTCTTACCCTGGCAGAGGGTAATAAATGGTGCTCTATTTGCTGCATCGAGCAGGTGGATAGGGTTTGAATGCTACTGCTTAAGCCCTCCCGTCTTCTTATTCCCCCACTTACGCTTTTTCATCCTTAGCCTTCCGCTCCACGTCCCGCTTCACTTTTATCCCCCGTTTTCAAGCCCCAAATACCTGACCTTTCCTGCTCGTGCTTTAATAGGCGTATATATTCAAGTTTTAATTCACATGCAAAAGAACAGCGTCGCTCTTTCCCTATCGACAAGCCTATGTCTAACCAAGCGGTCAAGACCAGTTCATCGCCTTCTATATTGAGCCCCTGATCCTTCCTCAGCTTGGCATGCGTCAACCTACGCACATTGCTACAGATCGGTCAACAGGCGATACTTGCCCGGACATCAGAAACCCTCTGGACAGAGATATGCCGTTTATCGGAAACCCGCCTGAAAGACTCGTGCTCTGTGCTCAATCTGCGATCCGTATCAGGTGACACTAGCAGTGCATTCCCATTGCGCCTATCCGGAGACGATGCAGCTTCGAGTAGCGGCCAAACAGATGATGGTATTGCCCTGAGTCCCCTGGCTGAAGATAGTTGGATCCCAACAAGTAGCCGATTGTGTGCGGTCCGGCTGGCTGGTTCGTTCAAAGCTTCGAAGTCACACGGGACTAATAGATGTCTACTCAGCATCGCTGCCTAGGTGCTCACAAACTGTAGTGCTGACTCGGCAAAAGACGACTTCTATCGTTAAATGCTTGAGCTAGGTAGCCACAGAAGAAGCACAGACACTGTAGTACCTGCTGGGTATCTGAATGCTAAAGTTGGGAAAGTGTCCACGGACGACTTGTATCTGGGGGGCCAGCATGGTGTAGACGCCCGTAATGATAACAGCGAGCCTTTCCATCATTTGAGTGAAGATGCTGGCTTATTTCTTGCGAGCACTAACTTCCGACACAGCACCCCACGGAAGGTGACATGGCGACCACCAGTCTTGAGCCAGCTTTGAACGCAAATCCATCACATGGCAATTAGTTACCGATAGAGAGGCTGCGTCCAGAATTGTCGCCGGATTTGAAGCACATGTGTGGTCACCGACCATGTGCTGGTAGGTGCTGACATGCGGATGCTTTTTTACGTACGCCCACGACGATACTGTGAACGCATTGACACAAGGCAACTGTCGAAGCCAACTTCACTGAATGCGTATGGAAATACGTTGACATACGGGTTGAGGAAGCGCTCACTGGAGACAATTGAAGGTCATTGGTCCAATTATCATCAAACCTTACCAGAAGCAGGTAACTCCTTATGTGGAAGGTCTAGTAGTCAAAATAGACATTCGGTCTCTTCGCAGTCTCTGGACCTCATCGATGCTCGACGGCACAGTCCGGCTGGATGCGAACAGAATGAAACTCGCAAAGCGCTCCGGGTAAAAGTACTTGCAAGCCTGAACAGAGACCGCGAATCCTGGTGGTCTCTTCCTGCGTCAAAAATGGAGGTGGCCGTTGCGCTTCATAACCATCGAAAATTATCCCGCCTGATATGGGAAACGGGCAGCAAGAGACTTGGTGTTAGTGAAACCATTTATGACCACAGTGGACAGCCTATCCACAACTTGTCAAAACGTTTGGAGCGTTGGGCTGCGAATTTTGAACAGTAATTTAATCGGCCGGAATTGTTAGATTCCTCACCGGTCACTGATCGCCTTGACCCGTTGACTGTCCTTTTGGATCCACCCTCTCGCTCAGAAGTCGAACGTGAGAGCGGACTGTTGAGATTGAATAAAGCCGAGGGAGCAGATGCTTTGCATCCAGCCCTGTTCAAAATCGGGGTTCATGCTCTTGTTGATGATGCACGCGAATTGCTATTAAAACTTGTGCAGCAGCAAACTGTCCCAACCGACTGGAGCAGCTCCGTTATTGTCCCGAACTTCGAAGGAGGCTCGCGTTTGGTATGCGGAAAAGATTGAGAAATCAGTCTGATCCGCATCGCTTCCAATTTGCTTGCCTCTGTAAGCCTTCACAAAATGACTGGCGCTCCTGAAAGCCAGATTCTTGAGCTGCCATCCGGGTTTCGTCGACGTCGGAGCTTCAACCCTTTGAGCAACGTCACATGTATTGGCGGCCCAACGTAGTTGCCTTCCTGGACATTAAGCGTCTTTCCTTTATTTTTTATTTTTTTTGGTAGATTCGTCGCAGTTAGACACAGACAGACAGCCACCACCCATCCAGGAAAGCGCTAGACGGCCGTTTCGTCCTATTGGGACTCGTCAGTAGCGCGCACTCGCCGAATCTTGCCGGATGCGAACCCACGACCTTACTCTTGCGAGTCAGCGACTTATGCCACAGAGCCATGGGCGACGGTAGCGGACCGCCATGACTGATATCTAACTGCGATATAGCGCGGCTCATCCTCCACTGTCTTGCATGCTATGCATGTGCAGAGGACAGGGCTGGCCCTCAGAGCAACGACTTCCTTTGCAAGCTGCCACCAATCGCGGTGGCAAGTATGCTGCTAAGGCGACTACTGATTATTTGTAAGTAGTATGGGGATTTATTAGGTTTTTTCATTTAGTTGATCGACTTGCTCTTTGAGACTGTCTGCTAAAGAGAGGTGTGCCTAAGAGTATGTGAATATTATGCGAGCGCTTACGCCAACTTTCGCCGCCCTTCAATATGTCCAGCACTGTGGGACAAGGATGGCCATTGTCTACTTTCCTCTTCTACCTTGCTATTGACGAAGTCATGGACATCGCGTTTACATGACACCAGTTAGTTGGTGTCGAGCAGTTCCTATATGAACGACTTCTTGACGATATTGCCCTCATCGTTGATA